GTAAAATACATAGAAATAGATCTGGTGGTGTAGTGCTTAAGGAATTTGACTGCTAATCAGAAGGTTGGCAGTTCAAATTCACCAACTTCTTCGCAGAACAAAGGCAATCTACTTCCCTTAAGTTTTACAGCCTCAGAAATCCAATGGGGGTCTCTGTGAGTCAGAATTGACTCAATGTTAGTTAGTTAGGTTTGTTATATATATATATATAAGTATAAATATACACATACAGACATATATACATATAAATATATATTCAGATGCTTTGTGTGTCAATATCTCTGCAACCTTGCTATGTCTTCCCTCTGCTAATTCAATTGGTCACATCTTGTGTCCTCTAATGGTCAGAAATATTGATGCATCTTCTTATACTTGGCAGATGAGCTACATAGACTGGTGACTTAGGTATGATTGTTCACAGTTCTGTTTAATAATTGCCTAAATATTTTGGAGCTGTAATGGAACAGCATAAGTAACATGGAAAATATATGAGAAATTTTACGTTTTAAAAAAATTTAAAGCACTTCTTCAAGAAAGGGACAAAATTCAGATTAGTTCTGGTCATTTTTTGGCTGTGATATTGGAATTCGGGCTTGACTGTACATATGGTATGGCCCTATGGCTATGAATATACCTTTAAATTGTCACATTTTATTACAATATGTATAATTCCCTGTACTTTTTATAATTAGGCAAATTTTATTATTCTAAAATCAAAGTAACTTTATTAGTGTTTCTACACACACACACATATACATAGTGGAACATGAATTTAGAAAGACATTTTAGTAACTTTCTTTATCACCTACTTGTTCACTTAGGATAATCGGATGTGGATTCCTTAAACCACCACCCTTCTGGTTAGTAGTCAAATGCCTAAGGCACTATGCTACCAGAGCTCCCTAGAAGAAGCTTAGAGAGTCTTATTCCTTTCAGAATCCCATGGCTACCAGAAGTGACGTGAGGACCAAAATTACTATATACAATTTCAAAATAAATATGAGTTTACTCATCAGTATGAGAAAATAAGTATTCATTCACTATCTTCCTTGTGCCAGGAACTGCCAGGACCCCTACAGACATATTATTGCTGTATCCAGATAGCAGAAAAGGGGGATTGACAAATATAGAGATATTCATCACAGGGTTGCTTGGGTGGCTCTAAAATAGAATAAATATTTATGGAGATCTCAAAGATGGTCCCTTGTAATAGATTCTAGTCCAATCAGTTTGTAAGAATTACGTCACTTATTACTCATAGCAAATCTGTGAGATAGTCATTATTAGCACCACTATTATTCTTGTTTGCCAGATGAATTTAAAACAATTTTTTTTAAAAAAAGAAAAAGTGAGAGTAATTAACTTGCCCAAGACGAATTCCTCAGTTAGAGAGGGGTAGATTCAGCATTTGAACCTATGATAGTTAACTCCAGATTTTTAAATTGAATCCCTCCTTTTCCCAGTAGTATCTAAAAATCAAACCTAAAGCAAGTGTGCCTGATGAAGAAAATTGCTTTGAGACTAGTGTGTACCCTTAAATATTAGCAATGGGGGCCCATATCAGCTCAGCAGGTATTGACTGTTGGAAATAAAAGACAACTGTGGGACCTTGAGGGTTTCAGTGGTCCACCTCTGCTGCTTACAACTTCTGAACTGTTGTCTCACCTCTGGTGCTACTGACGATGCTGCCTAGACTGTGCCTCCACCCTACATAACAACAGCAACATAACA